TCTTCCTGCTTAGTTTAATTTATNATAAACTACCTTTTTTAACAAGCCTATTATGGGTTCGGCTAGGCCCACTATGGGGCCGGGCGGTCAGGGACAGGCCCAACATATCCGGACCAATGTCTATTTTAATATATATGCTCTTTAGACTAAATCATCCTAAACTATATATATTATAAAGAGACTGAAATCGATATACGATTTGTGCATTAGATTGCTAAATTACTTTAGCGATTCGTCCAATTCTATATGGATCCGGGTTCAAATTCTTTTCTCATTCTTTTTATGTTTATAATTCGATTTAGTATAAGTGAGGAATTAGTAACTCATTCCTCACTCATGCTGAACAATTCCATTGCCGGTCAGTCCGTGTAGTCCATGAAAAAGTGAGTGAACGACTCGATCTATCACGGATAGTATGACCAGTGGTTCTCTAGCAAATCGAATTTTGCCATATGACCTTATCGTGCTGTTCTCTTGTTTTGAATCTGAACTAAATTATCGTGAATTTTCAAGGATAACTATGGATTGAGACGTCATTTCTCGTCTCTCATCTATTTTATGCGGTCCATTTACAATCCAAGTGTGTGTACAATAAAAAGAAGTGAAATTATCGTAACTTTCCAACGTAGTTTTTATGTTCTAAATGACCTCGAACATTGCGTGCCAGTGCATCATATAATAATGTTTTGTACTCTATAACANTATAAATATATATGCTCTTTAGACTAAATCATCCTCAACTATATATATTATAAAGAGAGTGAAATCGATATACGATATACGATTTATGCATTAGATTACTAAATGACTTTAGCGATCCGTCCAATTCTATATGGATCTGGGTTCAAATTTCTTTTCTTATTATTATTATTTTTTTTGTTTATAATTCGATTTAGTATAAGTGAGGAATTAGTAACTCATTCCTCACTCATGCTGAACAATTCCATTGCCGGTCAGTCCATGTAGTCCATGAAAAAGTGAGCGACTCGATCTATCACGGATAGTATGACCAGTGGTTCTCTAGCAAATCGAATTTTGCCATATGACCTTATCGTGCTGTTCTCTTGTTTTGAATATGAACTAAATTATCATGAATTTTCAAGGATAACTATGGATTGAGACGTCGTTTCTCGTCTCTCATCTATTCTATGCGGTCCATTTACAATCCAAGTGTGTGTACAATAAACAGACGTGAAATTATCGTAACTTTCCAACGTAGTTTTTATGTTCTAAATGACCTCGAACATTGCGTGCCAGTGCATCATATAATAATGTTTTGTACTCTATAACAGANCCCTAATAATTAATAGTGTTAAATATTTGCTCTTCAGACACTCCTAATCATTATTTTTATCAAAATAATGTCATTTAATGCAGTGACTTTTAAAAAAAATATTTTCAGCTTAGTGTGCATGATTTTAAAAAATCTGGAGCATAAAAATTAAATTTATGAAAAATGGACTGAAAATGATGAGCTCGGTCTTACACTGTTACGAATTCCTTTTATTACAAAGACTCGACGAGGACGAAGATTTATGGCTCTATAACAGAAAAATAAATAAAGTTAAACATAAATGCATTAATCATATTTACAATATTGAGTGAGGATATTTCAAAGGGAATGTATTTCTTAAGGGGCTGGAAAACTGGCCATATTTAAGTGTTAAACATATGAAAAAATCTCAGAAAACTGCATGTGATTAGCTTGTTGGTGAAGCGCTAATCCATGACTAACTTCATGGTGTTGTGCATGCAGACACTGGTTGGCCCACCCCTTTCTGAGTAGCTACTCTCAAGTTATACAAGTGTTGAACATATAAGATGAAACTCATTAAGCGACAATTTGAAAAATTGTGAACCTTTAAATTCCCACTGTCGACCACTGTCTGTTCTTCCTTAATTAATCTCGAGACCGGTTTTAGATATATAAAAGTCGAAACCAGATATGGAAAGTTTTGGAGCAGGAAGACCTGATTAATCGGAAGTCACGTGATTTCAATTCAAAAATGTTTCCCGAACGGAGTTACTTAGGTGACCCACACGATTCTGATGTTATCGGATAAGTACGACGTACAGGAGTAAGACACTACTAATTAGAGATCGAGAGCATATATTTTGAATTCAATAAAGTGAAAAGATTAAAAGTTGCAGCCCGATATTGTCACGATGTCACAATAAATAATTGTATTATTTTTACTAATAAAATTAAAATATTTAAAACTAATTTTTATTAATTAAATTAATAAAGAAACATTCTACATATTGCATTTATTAAAAAAAACGTGATAAAGGCCCTTTCTATTCGTCAGTCCATGCACACTCTCCATCGTTCTGTCTTCGCTACAATATAAAGGGTCCACCACTCCAAATTTCACCAAATAATATTAAATAATAACACTTATAGAGAATACTTGGAGTGCATATACTTTTGGCATCAAACTGACCCAAGATTACTTTGATTCTTCAAATTGTGTATACGAACGAACTACAGTATAGTGATTTGATTAATCTCTATTTGTGTATACAAACGCCATCTAGGATCAATTGGATCGCGATCAAAAAATTCCAAGCGGAGGATAGGATCGTTCGGATCAGATAAAAAGGATTTAAGATGGAGACCTCCATGATTAAAATCAAGCTTATAGTCAAGATGACAGCAAAGAAATATGTTTAACTGTCAACAATGAAAAGTATTTAAAACTTATAAATGGTAAGTAAAACATCAATATTAATTTAAATATTAAAACATCCAATAAACTGAGATGAAAAAATAATCATTAACTTTGTAACACTTGTCATCATTCGTCTCCTCCACCACAATCCACATACGAACTTCCTTTAGGTTAATTCCGACGCGGGATAAATTGATTCCCCCCTAACAGTCGGCCAGTTTACAGATATAGTTGTACCAAACATCCATTGACTAAAATAGATACACTGAAAAAATTAGTAAATACAGAACTCAGAAGCGCCCACGAAATAAAGCGCCTGTGAAGAATGGATGAAGTACGTATTGTGCCAGTACTCCTTTTTTGCATACCAAATACACTACACATGCTCGAAACATTAGATCTCCACAACAGCACAATGCGTCACTTTACTAAAGGCTGCCATGCTAGACACATGCTAGGAATTTCTTAAACACGTATATGCATCTGTGGTTAAACAGTTGTTTTCTGTAGTTTTGGTCCGGCATAGCACTCGGCATCTTTATATGCGACGTATAGGAAACATTCCAAAAATGCCATATAAAAATATAAACTACCTTTTTTAACAAGCCTATTATGGGTTCGGCTAGGCCCACTATGGGGCCGGGCGGTCAGGGACAGGCCCAACATATCCGGACCAATGTCTAATAAATTCATGGTGTTTTTCGACTTCATGGTGTTCAGATTCGATCATGTGTCCCCAGAGCGGTTGTCTGCCTTCCTAACCGCTCGGCCATCCGGCCGTCACCGATTACGTCTCTCAATATTTTCATCTATTACGTAATAGATTATTATAATTTGTAACTAGACACCCTAAACGAAGACCCTCCACCTCATATTAGTATCAGTAATATATCACCGCGTTAATTTACAGTTCCGAATATAAACGATATTTTGAAAAACCCAATATTTCGGATATCTAGTTTTATCTTTTGTAATAACGAAAGCGCCATCTTATACGTTGCATTTATTATAATTTTAAGTAAACGGATTATAACTAATAATTAATAAATAATAATNGAACAAAAACGATTACATACCAAAAGAACTGACAACTGGCATATACAAACTAAATACTACACAAACTCTAGGCCAACTCTACGTTTTATTACATCAGTAGCACTACTGCACACTAAAGGTTAGATTGGCAGAGCATAAGGAAGATCTCCCAAAGGTGAGAACTTCCACAGCCCTGGCAGAAAAATTGATCCCCATATGCCATACCACACAGAGATTGTTGTATCAAAACAAAATATTAATAATTAGAAATTAATTAATTTGGTATTAGATGTAGGTGTTAGGTTCCATCTCTTATCTAATTAATAGTCATATCCATCACCAGACAGCTACTCCTCAGAATAGCTGACAAACTCATGGTCACATGATCATGGGAGCCTGTCCTGAATAAACAAGAAAAAACGAGATGTTAACCCATGAATTTGGATAATTAATTCTGTGAAAAATAATTAAGACAGTATCTGTTAATTACTCTCTGTTGTACTCCCCATTTTTAACAATTAAAACCTTCTTCTATCCTATGAGGATTGTTGCATTGTTGACATCAAGTTAATCTTCATATATGTTTTATTTAAAGTCAACATAAATTTTATTCTACATATAAACTAACCTCTACATAAATGCATCATTGAATTAGTAGGAAATGATGTAAATGGAAGCTGGAAACTGTGGTCATTTGCAAACAAGTGTTACATTTTTTCATAAGCAAAAGATTGCTACGATGTGACACCGCTCCCACAGATAAAACTCTGACATGGCAATGTGCAAATAATCATTGATCATCAGATAATCTTTTGAAAAATATTAGGTCAATGAAAGAGCAAAGAAGAGAATCATGGTATTGTTATACATCAAATGTAAACAAAATACTAGAGAACTTTATGGTAATATGCCTTCAGTTTCTTGCTGCCCCACATCCGACCATGGATTATTTCTTCATGGATTATTATTTGTTCAATAGCTAAGAGAGAATGGCAATATTGTGGATAATCTTCAAAGAGACCAACCTTGCATCATCCATATTTGTGAAACATTATTTGCTTTTAATTTGGTGAAACACTGCAACTTTCTGATTTAATTTACAGAACATTATGCCTATTCATTAAACTAATCTCGGTTATGAAGTTTTATTTTACATGCAGAAACAATGAGTTTCACTTCTTTCTTCCAGAAGTTATCTTCTAAACTGATTAAGTTATTGCTTATTGTATAAATTAGAATAAATTATTTATAATTTGAATACTATTTTATTTTTTATTTATTTATTTTTTTTAGAATATTCCTCCCAAATTATGGTTTTTAGCTATAACACTGGAGAAGACTAAAGACAGGTTTCCAGCTTTTGTAAAAAAATTATCTTCTGAAGCCTCTCGTCAAGTGCCTTTACCTGGTGGTAAGTATATAGAGTGGCTCAAAAGTTGGTTAACTATTGTAAAATACTAAATTATAGTTATTGAAATACTTTATTGCTTACAAATTTTGTAAAAATTATTCAGAAAGACCCTTCTTGTTGTCTTGTTCATTCATAAATTGTCGACTTTCTTGCAAGTTTCTGCAAACAGCGTATAGTTAACCGATTTTTGAGCCATCTTATATATAAAGTTTGCATTCTTTTGAGCAAATATTAAACTATTTGTTTGCTTATTTTCATAGAAAATCTTCTAAGCAGATACTTAGCCATGAATGAATTTGTTGAACTGCATCTTGACAGTATATTTAAATATGGAGAAGGAGGTCATTTACCACGTGAGGTAAGTTTATATTCCATTTTTATGCATTTTTCTGTCTTTTATATTTAAATGACAACATCTCAAAGCCCAAGTAGTATACAATAAATCACCAAACGATCGCCTAAATATCGGGCTATAATAAGGCTAATTAAATGATTGGTATAAATTAATTTGACACTTATTTTGATACTTAAGAGATGGCGCCTAACGTCTACCTCTAGTGTCAAATTAATTTATACCAATCATTTAATTAGCCTTATTATAACCCAATATTTAGGCAATCATTTGGTGATTTATTTTATATTTGAATCATAGCCTATTTTATCCTTAATTTTCCTTACTATAGCTGTTTAGATGCCCAAATGTACGTGCCATCTCTTTGAAATATAATTTCTTGGAGAGAGTACCTGCTGACATTGGAAGGCTTCAACGTTTAGAATATCTTGCACTGACAAACAATAGACTACAGAACTCTTCAATTCCTTACACGCTCACTTTCTGTCGTCGTCTGAAGGTGTTACTACTAGATAATAACCTTCTTGATGCTCTTCCCGGTTTCCTATTGAAGATGCCCTCTCTTCAGACGGTACATAGACACGGGAATCATAACTACTTCAAGGCAACTTTCATGTGGTATCACACGGATGTCAATGACAGGATTCTTGCTGTCAACGGGTCACCTTCTCACCAGTCAGTTCGTCAACCGGATTCCCTCCAGTTTCTCTCCGCTAGAGCCGTGATAGCTGCAAAAATTAATTTTTATACTTGTTCTTACATACCTTCGATGCTCATGGATTACATTTCGGATATGTATTTCAAGTTTAACATCTGTGGGAACTGCACAAAAGCAGAATTGCAAGCGCAGTCAGGTATATGTATAATCTTTTATCTCCAATTTGTTTGCAGTTTAAAATTCTAAAACTTTTGTTAAAATTTTAGGTTATAAAGTGTTCACTTTCAAGAATCCCTATCTTGGAAACACGTGCGTTCCATTTCAGCACTGGGCGTGTTGCATAAAGTGTGCAGAAAAGATTGAAGTTCCAGCTAGAATAGAACAAATTATATCCTCTCAGGAACAGGATCGCCAATATCACAGATACATTCAGGAAGAACAGGATAGATGCCGCTATCGACAGAGGCATAACACCACAACCCCTCTGAGCTGTTGTCTTTTCTGACCCTGGCAGAAACTATAAACAATTTAATTGTTAAAAAAAGTGGTAAAATAATGGACATTTTTATGTTATAGACACATTAAATTGGCATTCTAAGTTATTATTTTGAGAAGCAAATTGATTTTGCTATGTATTTTTTAGTTTATATCAGGTAAGTAATGATACAAGTTTCCTTCTGTTTATTCAAAAAAGCAAACTTTTAGGCATCAATTGTGATATTATTCCGATAAATTAATTATTTGGGTGATGTTTTTGTTATTTGCGAACATCCGTGTAATCAAATTAACTTATTGTTTAATTTATTTGCTATGAGTGATAGGATAAGCAATAATTAGTATTATAAAGTGATAAGCGTGAAACTAGGAACATGAGTTACCAAATGAGATTATATTCCTTTTCCCCTTCATTATGTGCACTATTAGATTTTAAATATTGCACAGTTTGTATTATTATGTTTTCATTTTTTAAGAGTTTTATGTATTCTAGAATCCTATGGTTAAATTTTGAATATGACATATCTGTATACATATACACACACACACACACACTCACATATATACACCCACCCACATATTGTATAATTGTATATAAAACTTTTTGTAATTACTACACAAATTATATAATGCTGTTTGGATGATATTCCGACAAATATATGCTCAAGAAGGATAATGATAAAGAACACATTCTGCAAATGACACTATCAATTATTGCACTCGACAGTAATGCCGTGCTGCAGAATTAACCACGCATTTCTATGTAAAAGCTTGACTTTGACATTGTCATTTTAAGTCACTGGTCATACAAAATCCTTTCCGGACTAAGACCCAAAACATATCAAAACACTACTTTTATGAATCTATATGTATCTTAGTGTTATTTAATGCAGATATCTTTAAATTGTACGATATATATCTGTATACAAGTTATATTTGAAGAGTAGGAGATGAAGTTAATATTTTGCTGGAGTTTGATGATCAAAATACTTTTAATAAACAATCCAGCTTTGGTATTGCACCACATATTTTAACAGTCAAAAAAGAAACGAAAGCTGCATGCATGTTGACAGTTTGGCTCCACACATTAGAACAGTATTATCAATTTAAAATGTGAGTAGATTTGATTTTGTATGTCAGTATGTTGGAGTGAATGGCTCCAAAATTAGTGGATCCTTTTCTTTCTTAGTGGGTTTGGTCCATTCAGATCCACAGGAACATGCTGTCATTCACTTAAATAAATTTGCATACTGTCCAAATGATAAACTAACTAAAACATTCATTTCTTTTATAATGTTGCAAGACCCGAGTGCAATATATTGTCTGTTTTTGTAAATTTGTGTCGTCGCCGAAAGCCATCTGTTATTGAGATGGCATATAAATTCTTCGAGATACATTGTTAAAATTGTATGTATATAAGGTCGTGTGCCAAAGTTAAGAGAAATATAAAAATTGTTACAATTTGTGTGTGCTTTTCTTGTGTTATACATATTCTAGATATTGATAATGTCTAAAAACAACAGACACACTCCAAAATCTGGAGAAAGAAATCAGAAGACCCAGATTCCACAAGATATCAGGTGATCGGCAAAGAAATCTTTCAAAAACCAGAATGTCTGCAAGTGATTAGTAATACCTTATACTGCAAAATGGAAATATGGGATGTAAAACTTACGGGTCTTATGTCCAATGCTTACATAATTTTAATGTCATTACAAATTCTCTCTGCACAGTAACTTTTTGGACACCCTGCACTTTATAAAGAACAATAACAAATATGTTAGATAGGAAAATCTTTGGGTATACACAATATGTAGTTATTACGTCAATTTTGGATACTGGTGTATATAACTAAAGTAATTGAAGTTAGAAAGAACATTAAATTGCCTAACAGGAAGTAGACAAGAAGTAATATATATTTTATTACATGACCTTTTTAATGAAATTAAAAGAAACTGTGGGCCAACAGCCCCAAAAAAGCATGATGCCTGGCAGCACAATTGCATTCATAGTGTAAGGCAGTGCTATAACCAGGGGATGCAACTGAACAATAGCACCCTCTGATACTAATAACCATTTTCTTAACATTAGAAATCTGTTTATATGTAAACATAAAAGTACAGTAAATTGAAGTCATTGCCACAAGTAAGTGTAAATTTAAACCATACACTTTGTAGTTTTCAGCATAAATAAGATTTTTTTCCTTTCATTTCAGTTTTTTTAGTTTCACCCTTCTTGCTAAATCTCTGGCTGTACTACTGGCATATGATATTCAAATTGCCTTTCTCAAACATGGAAAGATGTGCAACCGTTTGTCACAATGCTACATCACTCCAATAAACAGTCACCCCCAAAAGCATTGTGTTTTCTGATTTTTGAAGGGAGATAATGGGTTTTTTGACCCCTCTAGATGAAATAATAACAAGAACATAAGCCCAATCATCTTAACTTCATGAATAATGCTTTCTACAGAAGTTTAAATAATCTCTGTGAGAAGAGTTTATGCTAAGAGACCTGTGGTTTATGTACTTCTAAAGGTCAATAACACAAAGCCTATGATATATTGTTTGTCATCATAATTTATCCCTGTGGTTGTGAATAACTTTAAAGACTGAAGACAGCCTACAATGCAACAATATATGCAAGAGAACATTCAATTACTCTGCAACCTGGGCTGTTCAGGTTATCGAGTCAGATACATGTGAATGGGGCATAGGAAAAGCATTTATATTAAACAATGTTTCTCACAATCTCTGTGAACAAGAAACATCAGATTTATGTAGGCAACTTAATTTACGTATTTGTCGGCTTTCTGCTTTTTAATATGCAAATTTTATTCTGGTTTCTCAAAGTTTGATGGAGGCAAAGGAGGAGCGTTTTGTGTCTTTGGGGATAGTTTATGCTATGGTTAATTATTGGAGGGTTGGGATTTATTGTATGGGCTCATTATATGTTTGCTATTGAGATGGATGCTTATGATTGTTTTACCACTAAAGCTAGAGAAGAGATTGGCTAGGAATTTTTTCTGTTGCAGTGATCTTTGCAATTCATTGTATGTTTCATACATTTCATTTTGTGTAATGGATCCATTGCAACTTAGGATAATTTGTAATAAAAGCAGATTATTGCAGAGCTAAGCATAATAATATGGAAGTATGTTAACCTTTACATATGCCTAGTCATGGAACAATTTAATTTGATAAATATATAAAAGAAAATTTTAGTTAGAAAAGTAATCAGGAAGAGAGACTGACACTGCAAAACACTCAAAGCAGTTTTTACACCCACTTCTCTTTTAAAAATGCATTTTGTAGGAAAGAGTACAATTGACTGTCCAAAAAGAGTACTTTACATTTTAATCTAAAGCCAATTGAAGCATGCATTAATATTGATTAAAAAATGTGTGTACATAAAAATTAACATTAGCAACGTGCAAAATCAAACGGAACTTATTTTAAACGTTGTAACATTTTTCAGTTCAAGCCCATAGATGGAAACACAACTAAATTCTGATAAAAACAGCACAATGAGGACATTTTTAAAATTAGGAGCAATGGTGTTTTATTTAGAACATATTCAGACCTTGTGGGCCATGGATAGGAGTTATGTGGCTTGCTGAACTCTTCAGCAACGTCTAGATGATTGCAGGTCCCCACCGGTAAAATAATTTGAACTTATCCGTTCTTATCACAGTCAGTCTTACAGGACACTTTGTAGATTGAAGCAACAATCTACGAGGTATCCTATAAGACTGCATTTATTTGTTTAATTATATTAGTTATAATGCATAAAACACAATATGAACAGTATAAAAATTATAATTTTTATTAGTAAATTATAGATACATAAATATTTCCTCTAACAATTTCTTAGAAGGCTCACAGCACATTACCAGTGTATCCCTCAGGATATGTTGGAAACACCGACATCCGTCATCAGAATTGGGGTGAAGGTGGGCAGAGAAGAGAGAATAGTATGAATGACCAATGCTGGAGATTTGTCCAAGTCATTGGAGAGGCGAATGGTTGATCTTTGAAGCCTGTGACACTTCAGTTTACTGGCTGGAAAAGGTTGAATTGAGGCTTCTTGGGGCTGTAAAGGAATGAAAATTTGAGAAATTGGTAAACTTGTTATTTGTTTTCTTTCTTTATTCAAGGATATTGATCAGGAACCTCATTTGTTTCTCTACTTGATTGGCTTTCTGGCACTGTGCTTTGAGTTGTTTTTTACATAGATAATATCCATCCTTTGCCTTTGATTTCTTACTGTTCTCTCTCCTTGCAGTGACATCCTGAATATCATAAATATCTTTAGTATTGAAAAAGGACACAACAAAAATAATCTTAAGCAATTACATTAATGACAAAAAAAGATTTGTATTAAAAACAAAAGTATTCTTCAGGATTTCAATTGTGTGTAGATTTCCCCACAAAACTAAAAGGCTGGCACAAGTGTGACTTTGCTATAAAAAGATTAAAATGTGCAGATAAACTTTGTTTCCTGTTTTTGTCTGCTCATTTTTTTATTATACTCATGTTTTAGTTTGCTCTTATTTTAATAGAAGAGAGAGGATTGTTGAAAGGGAAGTAGATAAGTGTATGTAATTTCCATACGTTAAACTTTTATGAGGTTATAGAAGTGGTGCTGTTTGCAAAGACATGTAGCTACGTACAGCATGCATTATGTTCTGTATCTGTGAGTTTCTTACAGATTATTTGTTTTGTAATTTGCATAGTTGTTCAGGAATATGGAATAATAGGAAAAAGTAAGGTTACCTTTTTGCCATTCCATGAATGAAATCCAATACTTAATGGAGAGGAAGAATCACATCCAATTTCTGACTCCTGAGTGCTGCAAAGGATACTACACCAGACTTTTCATGTTTCCTAACATCAATAAGAACACTTTTTTTGATCAACACACTTAACGAAACAAGAAACAATAGTCTTTTACACCATACCTGTCCACCATTCTTTCCATTCCTAATTTCTTTGACGGATTCTTGAAGCGTAGAGATCTTCGATACTGAAATTAAGAAACTGTTAGAAATAATAAATCTGCCAACACTTCCTCTTACGTTCCTCATTCTTGCAGTTTTGTATACAAAAGTTACATCTGATGCATGCACCAGCGAGCTTCAGAATGGTGGCATTCCGGGTCAAAATCATTCTTGCAACGTGGGTGTCCACAGCTGGATGTGGCGGCCGAGATGTGAGTATCACATAAGTACTGGTATGGAAAATCAACCAGTACCTGATGGAATACTCCCGCCAAAGCCGTCATAGCATGCAATGCAGGGTGCAGGCATTCTTTACGCGTTAACAGCACGTTCCATTGCTTTTGGGAAGGAACCACGTTGCTCAGGATTACATACACAATACACAGGCACACGCACACTTGCAAAGGATATATCAATATTAACAAATGCTCACTACACGAAACAAAACACGTGTCGCAAGCGCTCTTAAACTAAGATTAAAATTTAGGAATTTAAGGAGCGGAAACAGTTGTGCTCACCGTCACCACAAACATTACGGAATAAGCCTGTCTGATCTCACCAGGCACCCTGAATATCAATAAAAGCCCAGAGTTACAGGATGAGATTGGACCGGCAACCGCATCTACTCATGCATTCCATGCGTTACGTTCTCATGCAATGGTGCACTTTGCAAGGAGGCCAAATGTGCCCGCACCAAAAACAAAAAGAAACTGTGCAAACTTGTGATAATTCTAGAAACCAAGTGAGGTGCACACTTAAAAACAATCCCAGTGAAGGGGAGTGCATAATACATTCTATCTTTACCTTCTTTAGTGTGTAGTTGATGGAGACTAGCAGCATCCACACCTTCTTTACATTCTTAACTGTTGCTCCTTGGAAAGAAACGTTTTTAATTACAAAATTGCAGTGTTTCGGTCGTCATTTTCTCCCTTACCCTTTTTGCAATGTCGAGTATATCCGTAACATTATCTATAAACCGTAATATACTCACACTTGCTTATCTGCTGCCAAGTCGGCCATTTTCGATTTCTCTTCCGTATCTGTCTGTCACGTTCTCATCCTAAATAGAAATAACGTCATAAGAATATACATATAAATTAACTTTTGAGTAAAAAGAGAATTACCTCAAGGCTTTCTGTACTTTGTTTTCATGCTCCATTTCCAACTCAGCATATCAACGTGCTGACCAGAAAACAGAAATTTATGTTACAAAATTAAAGAATTGATGCCGGTCAATGTAGAAATAAACGAAAGGAATTAACACTATAAATGGAACCATTGATGACACTACTAAATTTATCTCCAGAGCAGTACAAGTTACGCTGCGTAACGTTTATAAAACTGTGTTACCGTATTACGTTACGTTACCGTATTGCGTTACGTCGTCTAGCACGGTTACGTCGTCTAGCACGTAACGCAATACGGTAACACAGTTTAATCATCTAAAAAAAAATCAAGTAGGGAAGCTGGAGCACTTCCAACTAACACAATACAAAATAACCTCCGAACAACGGCCATTTTTTTATAAACTTTTCTTGTGAAAAATACATAAAATGGCCGTTATTACAGGTTCGACCGTGTTTAATTTTTCACGTTTACTTTACATTCATTTATCAGCTGCTATCAGAGCAAAAAATAAAAAATAAAAAGGAAGAAGGAAATTTCCAGATAACAAAGCAAAAGTTATTTGCAATTTTTTTTTAATAAAAAATGGCGGCATTTTTATCGGAATTTTGTATTTTTCTAACTTCGAAACGCTTCGAATTTCAATTATATTTACGTTTAAAGGTTAATTTTGTTTTGTAAATTTCGAAAATAAGCGTTCAAATTACACGCTAAATTAGATGTTTACGGGTTTGCAAAAATGTAATTATTATTATTATTATATTCGACTTTTATGACTGAACAGTTCTACAGACACGAGACAGTAAAACAATTTAATCTTCGCAAAATCATATAGTAACTGTTATAAAATAATTGTAGTTAGGAAACAGGTAGAGATATGCAGATTAGTTGTAGTTGGGAGCGGATAGAGAGCAAAATATTACTTTTTGGAGCGGATAGAGGGGGTATACTATAGAGGAGCTACAGATTATATATAGATAGATAGAGCGCACTTAGTTACAGAAAAGTTAAGGAGAAAGTATAGTTATAATTAGTGCATACAGTTAAGTCATTTAACTCGGCAAGTTTCCTAACAATACAGGTAAAGTTACGGAAACTAACCTGAAATTTTCTTTTAAAATCTTCACTTTTCTAGCTCTGGACAGGCTCTCTTCACTTCCCCATAACCCCTGTCAAAAAAAAAAAAAAAAAAAAAATACCCGAGAAGTAAGAAGAATGCAATAATCTATCAAATGAAATCGGCTACAATTTAAATACCTTCTGTCTATCCGCAGTACTTCGAATTTCGTGCTGTCGTTCGATGCCTCGTCGACTGATTCCGATGTTCCTGTTGCAGTTCCTGTTCCGTCACAACCTATGAAAAAAAAAAAGAGGCAAATTTCGCTTTAAATCGAGGGCCGAACACATACTCTATTGGCGGGATGACTGTACATTTTATCTGTTGAAATTTCTCTATTAATATTCTAGTCACGTGTTGCATTTATGCAACCGCATTCCACAATTGCCAATGCGAAATTTATATTACAAAAGGAGCACTTTGGACTCCCCCCCCTCGAATATGGCTCGTTAATAATATACCTGGATAACCGCTAGTACTGTGTGTCTGTCCATCACATTCGGCACGCATCTATACGAAAGTTACACGTAACGGAATGAAGGTGTGCAGTAAAGAATCCCTCAAAGTTTTCGCACCCCCCCCCCGTTCGAAAGGGGAGCAAATTCTTACAAAATGCATCGTAACTATTCGACGAGTCATTTTTTAAAAATTCGTTGCGTCACCCCCCCTTCTAGAAAGAAGAAAATAAAATTAAAAAAAAAGAAAAACATTTATAAATATGACAAAGCAATAAATTTTGATAAGGGTATTATGCTGCAGATTTTTTAAAAAATAACAATAAATTCCATAATTTCTAACAACGCAAGAGGAAGTAAGGTCTGTTTGTCTGTACGTCGGCAAGATCGAAAAATTCCACAAACTGATAAAGGTATATGAAACTATAGCGGCCCTAAAATGTGCCTATCGACAGTAAACACTTGAATGATGGAACAACACCTGCACACCGCCTTGTTTGCCCACCTGTTTTATCCAACATGGCAGCTGTAACAGCGCTCTAACTTCGAAAAAAAATATATTAAATATTCCAATAAAATATCGAATTTGTCAATTTATAAAGGAAAGAAATTGCATGCAATTTTGCGAATTGCCAAAAAAAAAAACACAGCAATTTCCCGTAAACACCGCTTCATTTGTGCAGTCTTTTAGAAACTCGCGCGTAAAAAAAACCATGCCACGCGCGTACTAGTGTGTAATTTCGTGTGTTTGAGTGGTTGCAACACACTACACCATTGTGTAGTTTGGTGTGTTCGGAAGTAACTACACACACCTCAGTGTATACTTTTGTGTTTAAAAGTGTTCTAAAGTAACTAAATACGAATAAATTATGGTAATGAGCTCGTGCATATTCATGGACCACCACCAAATTTAGTGTTACGCTAAATGAAACTGAGGTGAGATCGATGCGAACCGTATAAAATTGCCGTGTTACGAAGCTTAAAAATAGTCTGGTTGCTAATTTAAATGTTTGTTACACCAACAAACGGTTACTCGTAACTCGAACGTGACGTCTAGTTTTAGTGAAACGTCACGTTGTTTTTTTTTTTTTGGTTAGAAAAAGAGAGAACTTTTAGAAATGCGCGTGGAGTCGAAGCGTAACGAATACACGTAACACAAGGATAACGTAAAGCGGAAGATAATCGCGACGTCGTTAAGTAAAATGTTATAAATAGTTACTTTTGCCGTGACGCGAAAAATGAAAAGAGAAAAAGCAGTAGTATTACCTGTTTGTGAGAGGGGTGGACGAGCCGTATGCAAGTGTCTCCTTCGTTACGAAGACGTCTTACTTCATCAGCCAACCTGTTGATCTCTGTCTGGTAGGAGATGAGGTCGACTAGATCTACCTCGTCGAAACCTCGTTTTCGATCGGCACTCGGCAGGGGTGGAGGTGTAGTGTCTCGGGTGCCATTTTTACTGATAGTATTGTCTCAGTCGGTTGGTTACGTCCTAAAAACAATGGCGAGAGAAATAAATGGACGACACTCGCTAAGGTCGCGTGTTTCCCCTTTTCTAAATCCCCGATGTGTGTGCTACGAACGTCCCGGAAACGTTCGCGTTACGTAGCGTTCCGTCCAATAGGCGAGTGACACCCGTCACTCGGATCTCACGCACCGCGACCCGCTTCCGGTACACCTTCCCTCTCCCCCCGTCATCCACACCTGTGATGCGATCAACGTCTCGGAAAATAAATCGACCCGATCGTCAAAGACGTCACGCTGTGGCGTAACGTGGAACGGGTGTTCCGCCGCGTCGAGCTCGTGCATTATGCGAAACGTGTCCCACACCAGAAACGAAGCGACGCGTCGCGTTTGACTCTACGCGACGCGCATTTTACCAAATACTAATTCTAACAATACACGAAACACTACCATTGCCGTCTACGCCGCGCCGCGTTTAACGCTACTACAAAACACAAGAAATCTTAACATTATAATTGGGAAGATAACACTCGATTATTTTGTTCCGTTGTGTTTTATTATTATTAAAATTAATAACACAATCATTGTATATTCCACCAGTTACGCGCCCGATATGCTGAAATAGCAAAATTCCTCCATGACGGATGTAACGCGACACGTACACTAACTATACAGTAACAATACGACTAGACTAAACCATCGCTGTCTGGTCGTATCGAATTTTTAATTATTCGCCAGATTATAAATACTTCTATCGTAACAATACTCCACTTAGTGTGTTAAAAAGGGGGGGGAGAACGCTAAATCGAATTCTGGTTCGGGGGGTCTTCAATAACGACAGCGTTATTAAGGGGACGAATCCATATCCGCCGATTGTTCGTTACGAATCTGGCATGGAGCCATTAAAATACTACTACGGTAACAAACAAATACAGCAAGCGTAACGCCAATACGTTACGCATTTCTATATCCACCCCTCACTCCGTCTACTTAAAATAATTGAACAGGCAACCCAAGAAGGGCGGTGTTTTGTGTGTTTGTTTTTCTTTTGTTATTAATAAGTGTCGACTCATCGTGTTTAGAACAATGCTTTGCTGCCGAACAGCAAGTCATCACACCTAAGCAGTGGAAGCAGCACGTACCGGATCCTTCAGTGACGTCACTCGACTCCGTTACGTCCAAACACTAGAAGAATTCGTAAACAACAATAGAAAAAACAAAATGGAGGATTTATTTAAAACGTCACACTTGGAAACAGAACGTCGAGGAGCTTCCGCCGATACATCCTGTGTTATACACGTAGGATGTAGTGTTTCCTTACCACTTGCCGAGAATATAGGTGTGACGAAAATAAGGTGAATGGCACCTAGTTCGGTGTCTGCTTCCGTTGTGTGTGTATGTGTGTGTACGTAGAGGGGGTATAAAACAGACCTCCTCGTCCTGTTTTCTAGAAAATATTGTCATGAAATTCGACCCGAGCAAACTGGCATCTGTCACGATTTCATGATATTTAACGACGCGTATACAATTTCCCGTTTTCCAGAAAACAATATAAGTGTAACTGAGCGACTTGGAACTCCGAACTTTAGTGTTTTTCCTGTGTTTTTAGATCATATCTTCGAATAAAACTCCGAAAGACGACGTCATATTTCCAGGCGTGACGTTATTCTTCGAAGCAGAAAGCGCCATCGAAAATATATAGGCACACCCCTATAAACAGAAGAATTTTCGAACCCCCGAGCATAAGTTTGAATTTGGAAATGTTAACAATTTAAATCCCAAAAAATCGACTGGTAACGAGTTTTTTGGGTGTATTCAACTTTCCGGTGTAATTTTACAACACACCCTTTTTGTTCGAGAGCGCAAAGTTTCGAAGGGTTTTTGTTTACAAAATACACTAAAAATTTACTATTTTTGATCGAAGAAAACAAGCGAAATTCGCCCCCTTAGCTCAAATTGTTTTAAATTCTGTCGAAAGTACTGTTATTTTAGTATGCAAATTCATTGTTTTGCAACACCAGAGTGGCTTGTTAAGCAGAAAATTTATTTTAATTATACAAGTTTAATTGTTGTCTCGGCAAAGCTGAAACTAGAAAACAGAACACAGACAGCGCCAAAAATTCCCTCTTAATTAAACAATCGACGGACTTCTCCCACCCCCCAATTTATAGCCATCGTCGTCAGTAGCCTATTTTTTTTTAAGATTAAGTGACGAAGCTGTCTTTTAGGAGGGTGACGTATCGACTTATATTTCGTGTTTTTTTTTTTGCGAAGTGCACGGTCACGTTACGACTACCGAAAATCTATTTTAGCACACCATAAATATTCGTGACTGTCGGTGAAGTGTTTGCTAACCCCCCTTGATAATGCCGACGGGGTTATTAAATTCCAACCCCCCCTCTAATTTTTCTTAGAAAAATGTCGCTAGTTACTTGAAAGCTGTAGTAACTATCCTGGACTGGTTAGAAACTATAGTAAAAGTAACCAATAAAGTAACCAAGGCTGGAAAGTTACGATTTCGAGCTTTCTTGCACCCAAAATTTGTCTGGTAAGGGTAACCAAGGCTGGAAAGTTACGATTTGGATTTCTGGCGACCTGAAAACTCTCAATTGCTAATAATTAGAAAATTTCAGTTCCAAACTACCTTAACCATTAGAAAATGGCGACTATTAACTATGCAATTCAGCGTAACAGTTACTAAACACAAGTCCAAATGCTGAATAACTAGATTCGGACCGACTCTGCGGAATTTCACCGTTAGACTTTTATCAACACGTAACATCTGGGTGGTAATTTAGTACATAATAACGTCGATAATGTGTTACGCCGCTTGTCATTCGAATGGCGTAACACAATTGTAATATGACCAACGGTTTATATTTATAATCTTTGTCGCGGATTGTTTACGTCTGCTTCGTCGAAAATTTATTTCTCGAATTTGGTACGTCCGTCTGCTTGTCTGACCGACACTTTCAACGGAATCTTCGGACAGTTAGACACAGAAATAGGGCAAAAATGACTAACAATTTAATTTAGCTGCAATTAACGGTTACGAAGTGCAATAACACTACCTTAATAACAATCAGTATCAGGAAAAATGGTGGAGTTTGCCCTCGAAATACTTTAACCGAATATGGTTGTATTTAAAGCTGTATACAAATATATCAGGACAATTATGTGTGCACAGTTTCACACCCTTTGATACCGAATATATGATACTGATCATATCGAGTAACACCGAATTATATTGTTAATTTTAAACTTAGAACCGAGTTCTGTAACACACAGTCTCACACATTATTTAGTTGTGTATGAGGTTGATGAGTGTGGATAAATTCTAGGTACAACCCCTATTGGAAAAATAGTTACGCTCCCCCTGCACAATTTAGAATGTAATTTTCCTGTAAGCGTAACCATATTAGGATAAACCCAGATTTTCCAAGGCCCTCTTCAAGGCTAGATACACGTCGTAACTTCTATCAACCCTCTCCTGTACGGGCCTCGTTAAAATGAAGTGATTACTAAGGCTTCTTTTAGGGCCTGGTTACGTGTTGTAACGCCTGTCGACTCCTTGTTAAATTGATAATTACATTTTCCCTATAAATATTTATAGTTCTACCTCAGGCGTATTTTCTGAGGCCCCCTTTCACAGCGTAACTTTTATTGACCCCCCTCTTTAAGGTAATAATTACGCTTCTCTTGTAATATGAGAGAGAGAATAGTATTGAGAGGATAAACCTCTTTCAAGGCCTCTTTAAGGGCCTTTTCTTACAGTGATACTTTACAGGGCATTAATATGATGTAACGAGTTTTGAAAATTTCTGGTATAATTTATGCTAATGCATTGACAATAATGCAAATTTACAGCTTTGTCAGGTGCGGCGTCACGTCTGTTACGGTGGCAGACAGACACACGTACAAACGTGCAGAGAGAGCTAAATTTATCCAATTAATATAAAATTCTTCTCTAACTTTTGGGCCACTCTGTAAAAACCCTCTGAATTTTTGGTTCCTCCTCTAAAAATCCTAACTTTGGGGTCGTCACCCTCTAAAAATTCACGTGACAGTGAAGTATTGTGTACATTCGTCACTCAAGTGACTTACTTTTATGTGTGTGTGGGGGGTGACGCATCTTGTTACTCAATAATTTATTTAACTTTAGGTTATTTGGTATCAAGGGAATCCAACTAGCACTATAATTTACCATAATAAGAAGTTACCGTACCGAGAAGAAATGGTATTTATCCTCAGTTTTACACCACGATTACTACTACATTTCAGTGTTTACTTCTCTCTGACGTTCCATCTAACGTAACAATAAGAATTTGTATACGTTAAATGACAATAGTACGATGCAACGTAACATGTTAACGTAACTTAATTATCATTCGGTATATATGATCAAATTATTATTTAGAATTCGAACCCGTAGTGGAGGGTACACATTTCTAATTCCTCATAGGGACTTAGAGATCGCGCTGACGTTACACGTGTCTAATTCTAGATACGAAATGCGTAACATCTGCGCCATTTCTAACTCCGATATAGAATTAGACGTGTGTAATATTTGTTCAATTAACAATTCTCTATACGGGAATTAGAAATGTATAAACCTTATTTCCTTATTTCGTCATTTATTCCAAGTGGTAGGTCACGAACTACCATTCACCCCTCAATCATAGCTTAAATTACATAAAGAAAAACATGTTTGTTATATTTTATTCATTACTTTAAAAAGAAAAAAAAAACATCAATCTTTTCGATCGTTTTAAGCTTGCTACAAGCTTACTTCTATGTTGACAGCATTAATGTTTTGCTATTACTAAGAGGGTCCTTCTTTGAATTTGAAGATGGAAAAATCTAGTCGATAAACCACTCACGTATATGTCCAGATTTTCAGTGGAACTTGTGACAGAAGTGAGAGAGTTGACAGCATTTTGACAACCGAGTCGTTGCTTCGTATTTGTCTTGGTTTGGCAAGTCTCGTTGCTTGGCAAAGCTCCCTTGTCTTTTTTTGAAAAGTGGTTATTCGAACTATGCATTCTTTGAAGATAAAGCCCCATATCGATTCCAGAAAAGGAAGAAAAAAAAAGGACAACTGTCGGTTTGTGTATGTGAGGATAAGTCGAAATGGGATCGTAAAGACAAAGCAAAACTCATAAGAAAAGCTTCTACAGGTCATAAAAGAGGATCCTATGCTCAGAAAGAAAGATAAAAACCAACTTCTACGTGAAAATTTGCTGATAATGTAGAGTTTTACTAAATTGTAATTAACCATTAAGAACTTAAAAGGTTTTTTCGCCATTTTTATTTAAAAAAAAACAAAAGAAAAGGCAGAATTTCCGATTAGGTAGCGATTATTGGCAAAACAATGAATTGATAGAAAAGGTGGGAAGAAAGTCTGAACACAGAACTAACATCAGATAAGACGAAAAATGAAATCTTGACAGGACAATCCCTGTCTGACTAAGGTGCTATGTCACTGTCATCTTTTCATGACGCACTTTGTCCTGAAAACT